ATTGTTAATAACTTCCCTCTTAGAACAGTTTTTGCTGCATCCCATAGGTTTTGGATCATTGTATTTTCATTGTCATTTGGACTTGGGTGGCTATTTCCTTTCCCATGTTAGGGAAGTTTTTGACTATAATCTCTTCAAATATTTTCTCGGTCCTTTCTCTCTCTCTTCTCCTTCTGGGACCCCTATAATGTGAATGTTGTTGCATTTAATGTTGTCCCAGAGGTCTCTTAATCTGCCTTCATTTCTTTTCATTCTTTTTTCTTTATTCTGTTCCATGGCAGTTAATTCCACCATTCTGTCTTCCAGGTCACTTATCCGCTCTTCTGCCTCAGTTATTCTGCTCTTGATTCCTTCTAGTGTATTTTTCATTTCAGTTATTGTATTGTTCATCTCTATCTGTTTGTTCTTTAATTCTTCTAGGGGTTTGTGTTTTAATTCTTCTAGGTCTTTGTTAAACATTTCTTGCATCTTCTCTATTTTTGCCTCCATTCTATTTCCGAGGTCCTGGATCATCTTCACTGTCATTATTCTGAATTCTTTTTCTGGAAGGTTGCCTATCTTCACTTCTTTTAGTTGTTTTTCTGGGGTTTTATCTTGTTCCTTCATCTGGTACATAGTCCTCTGCCTTTTCATTTTGTCTATCTCTCTGTGAATGTGATTTTTGTTCCACAGGCTGCAGAATTGTAGTTCTTCTTGCTTCTGCTGTCTGCCCTCTGGTGGATGAGGCTATCTAAGAGGCTTGTGCAGACTTCCTGATGGGAGGGACCAGTGGTGGGTAGAACTGGGTGTTGCTCTGGTGGGCCGAGCTCAGTAAAACTTTAATCTGCTTGTCTGCTGATGGGTGGGGCTGAGTTTCCTCCCTGTTGGTTGTTTGGCCTGAGGCAATCCAGCACTGGAGCCTACCTGGCTCTTTGGTGGGGCTAATGGCAGAGTCTGGGAGGGCTCACCCAAGGAACACTTCCCAGAACTTCTGCTGCCAGTGTTCTTGTCCCCGTGGTGAGTCACAGCTAACTCCTGCCTCTGCAGGAGACCCTCCAACACTAGCAGGTAGGTCTGGTTCAGTCTCGTATAGGGTCACTGCTTCCCCTGGGTCCTGATGCACACAGTACTTTGTGTGTGCCCTCCAAGAGTGGAGTCTCTGTTTCCCCCAGTTCTGTCAAAGTCCTGCAATCAAATCCCGCTGGCCTTCAAAATCTGATTCTCTAGGAATTCCTCCTCCTGTTGCTGGACCCCCAGGTTGGGAAGCCTGACTTGGGACTCATAACCTTCACTCCAGTGGGTGGACTTCTGTGGTATAAGTGTTCTCCAATTTGTGAGTCACCCACCTGGTGGTTATGGGGTTTGATTTTTTTTGTGATTGTGCCCCTCCTGCCATCTCATTGCAGCTTCTCCTTTGTCTTTGGATGTGGGGCATCTTTTTTGGTGAGTTCCAGTGTCTTCCTGTCAATGATTGTTCAGCAGTTAGTTGTGATTCTGGTGCTCTCACAAGAGGGAGTGAGCTCATGTCCTTCTACTCTGCCATCTTGAACCAATCTCCTAAATTTTTCATTTTAGTTATCATACTTTTCATTTCTAGAATTTCCACTTAGGGGTTTTGTTTTTGGTTTTGGTTTTCATTTCTTTGCTGAGATTCTTTATTAGTCCACTCATTAGACCATATTTTTCTTTAATTTTTAACTTTTTTTTTAGTTCTTTAAACATTGTTACAATAGAGGCTTTCAAGTCTTTGTTTTCTGAATCTAATATCTAGACCATCTCAAGGTTAGCTTTGATTGACTCTTGTTTTTCTTGATTCCATCTCTTTCTGTTTGTTTATTTTTTGATGTATTGTGTTTCAGATATTGTGTATTTTAAGTTGTAAGTTGCCTGTTAAGGGTTAAGAGTTAAGGGTTGCTATTACAAAGTCCCACAAACTGCGTGGTTTTAAAAAGCAGAAACTCATCATATGACAATTCTGGATGCTCAAAGTCCAAGGTCAAGGTGTTGGCAGGGTTGATTCCTTCTGATGGCTATGCGGAAAAATCTGTTCCCTGATTCCCTCCTAGCTTCTTGTGGTCTGCTGGCAATCTTGGCTTTTAGATGCATCACCCCAATCTCTGCCTTCATGTTCACATGGCATTCTCTTTGTGCATGTTTGTCTCCATGTCCAAATTTCCCCTTTTTCTACAGACACAGTCATACTGGATTAGGGTCACCCTATTGAGTCATCTTAACGTGACCAACTGCAAAGACTTTATTCCCAAATAAAGGTGAATTCATAGGAACTGGGAATTAAGCCTTCAATATCTTTCAGGGAGACACAATTCAAGCCATAACATTGTCCCCATTCCCAGTTTATCCCTCAACATCAGCCTGAGTGATTCCTTTAATAATGTCTTATATGTTACTCCTCTATTCAAAAATGTTCAGTGGTTTCCCAATTCATTCAGAGAAGAAGCCCTACTCCTCAGTGGTCAACACACCCCTCCATGCTCAGCTCCTCCCTCCAGTTGTCCCTGTTCTGATCTTTTCTATTTCTCCCCTTGCTCACTTTGTTTCAGTTCTTTTGGTCTCTTTGCTTTTTCTTGAACATAAGGCAAGTGGACTCCCCTCAAAGCCGTGGCCCTAGCTGTTCCCTCCTCTAACTGTGCTACTCTCCCCATTATATACATGATTCATATCCTCACTTTATTCAGACATTTATTCAAATGTCTCCTTCTCTGAAAGGCTTTCCATGGATAAAATAAAAACTCTAAGTAAAATAGCAATGAAATAGCCCTTTATCCTCCCCAACTTCACCCACTGCCAATTGATCCCCTGCCCTGTTTCCTTTTTCTCCATAGCACTTATGATATATTTAGTTATTTGTTGTCCGCTTGCCAGCTTAAGTAGAGCAAGGGTTTTGTCTCTTTGGTTCCATTCTGTGTTTCCATAATCCTCTGGTGCGAAGTAGGATTTCAGTAAATAGGTTCTGAGTGAATGGTTGAATGAATGAACTAATGAATGAATGTGCTTTGAACAGAGCCTTTTACATAATGAGTCCTAAACAAGTATTATTTATAATTCTTATTCTTAATTAATCTTTCCCAAAATAGTTACTGCTGTGATCAATTTTCTATATGCTATTTTTCCTCTTTCTTTATTCTGCTCTGGAAATTTCAGGCTCAAAGGGAGAACCATATTCAAGAAAAGGGTAAGATCTAATGTTCAAATGTGACAATGAAATTGGGAAACTGAAATTAACGCTCTGGAAACCTAGACTCGCTGAAAGTCAACAAATTAGAATTTGGCTAAAAGATGAACACAAAATTCTCCCATCCTTTTATTTTTCATATAAAAATATCTATCTTCACATGTGTGGCCTCTTCTTACCCTTCTAAGTCTCCATGCAAGGGAGGTGTCCCACATGATCCATGTATTCTCGTCACTCCCAGCCTTGATTTATGCCTCCTCAAACCCCTTACAGTTTTTACTTCCTCCTTGGGCATTTAAAACTTACTAGTTTTAAATTATAGTTAATTTCATCTGTTCTCACTCTTCCTACTAAATTCTAAGTTTCATAGAGGCCAAGAAAATATATTTTATCCTGTCTGTCTCGCAGCATCTAGTTTGAATGAGTGACTCAAAAAGGTTTTGAATAATGAAAAAGAACCTAGTTTTAAAGCACAAATGATACATACTGATTTTTTTATAGTCTTGAAAAATAACCAGGAAACAATCCCTGCTCCTATAAGAGGGAGGTATTAAATTAAATACAATCTTCTTTTGCCATTAAACCATTAACAACCCTATCAACTCTTTGCCTGAAGACGGACTTGGACTTAGTTCATCTTTCCTTGTCTCTTCAGTACTCTTATAAAAGGTAGGGATGTAATTTTTATTTCCTTTATTTCACATTTATCATCTATAAAGTCAAAATAATACTTTCTTACTTGTAAGGCTGTTTAATGAGGCAGTTAATTATTGTATAATGCATTGTAACTCCTGGAGTAAAGGTTTTATATGTGTGCAAAGGGGTATTATTCCAGGAGAGTTATGACACGGGCAATCTTTGGCTTGTGGGTGGAGTAGGTGGAGTGATGTGATAAGATAGCAGCTGAACAAACTTCAGTAAATTAAGAAATAGGGAGTTCAAACTTGCATTGTGGAAAGTTGGTAGAGAGTTCACCTCCCTGATGCGTCTGAAGGAATGGCCTTATGTTGTTAGAAAACTGACATAGAAGAGCAGTTGTCTCACACATCAATTTTGCAGTTGGCAAAAATGAATCAATTTCAGTAGCTTCAAAGATACATGTGACAAAAACAAAACCAAACCAAACCCAGATTGCCTTCAATATTGAATCCATTTATTTTTTTAAATTTGTATTTATTTATTTTTAATTTTTTTAAACTTTTAATTTTATATTGGGGTATAGTTGATTAACAATGTTGTGTTAGTTTCAGGTGTATAGCAAAGTGATTCAGTTATACATATACATCTATTCCTTGATATTGAATCCATTTAAAGCACATAATTCACTTATTTATTCTTTCAACAAATATCCATTTAGTGCCTCTTATGAGTCAGACCCTATTCCCTGTCCTTATGAAGCTTACATTTGTGTGCGGAAAGACAGACACAAACAAGGAAATATACAGTGTGTAGGGTTGGAAGTAACACTTATAGTGTTACCATGAAAATAAGGCACAGGGTATGGCTAAGGGTGGAGATACTATTCCACATTAGAGGGTCAAGAAAGACCCCATAGTTAAGGTGACACTTGAGTAGCACCTTAAAGGAAGGGAGTGAGCCCAATAGGTGGCGGTGGCTGGGAAGATTCACGCGAGTTCCATTGCGAAAGCTCACGTAGGGCCATGCTCGATGTTTGTAAGTTCACTTTTGCTGTTACCAATTCTCCTTCTTAGCTTTTCAGCCAATTTATACAACTTAACTTAGTTTTTGGAATAAATTTGTTTAGCGTGTAAAGACATTACAATTCATATAGTATTGTTCATTTTAGGTAACACAAAAATATTTGGGCAACAGAGTTTTGGGGTAATTTATCCTGAAAGTAAGGTCAAACACAAACACACATACATACACATAAAGACAACCATCCCCCCTCCCCAATTTTCTGCTTGTCTTACACTTTGTTATTTCTCTATCATTAGAGAAAATTAAAGCAAAGGATGAGCTAAGAACCAAGTATTAGTCACCAGCATGGTGGTGACTTTTAGGTGAAAAATCCTCTGACAGAAAGGAAACGTCTTCTGCTTCACTGCCTTTCACATCAAAGCAGAAGTAGAGGTGTGGCTGAATAATTTTTTTAAAGAAAGTTCAAGTGATCTTTACATTGGTAGACATTTGAAGTTCATTTTACTAGTGATTTAGTGGCTTACTGGCTTTAATGGATTTGAGTAGACTTTAGCCAGAGCTATGCACCACATTGCAAGCCCACTTACCTGTAAAGGAAAAAAAAATGTAGTCAGATTTCATTCCTTCTGATAATTGGACTAAAACTTGTTGTCTGAACTAAGTCAGTCCAATTATTTTTCTTCAGTTCTGTCGGACCAGGAACTAAAATATTAGAGCAAATAGATAGATAACCTCCAAATTCATGGCGTTTTTTTGTTTTTGTTTTTTTTTCTTTTTTTTCTTTCTGGAATTCAGGAGGAGAAAAGAGGCTCTTTTAAAAATCTGAGTATATTGTGAAATTCTCTGGTCTTGATTTCTACGTGTTACACAATCTGACTTTAAAATTAAAATTTTGTGTATGTGTGTATAGAGTGGAGTATATAAGTGGAAAATACTGCTGGCCACGTCATTATGACTATTTTACATTTAAACAATGAATTCATCACCTGTAGGACTTATCTCAAGGGGCAGTGGGTGGCTAGAGCAGAGAAGTCTTGTTTTCTTCCTTACCTTTTTCCTTTCTGTCATCTCAGATGTGTGGTGGAATGTTTCACCCTCGTGGTCCACTCTTCATGTGGGTAGCCCGTGCTTCCCAGGCAGGGTGACAAGACAGGGAGTGGCAGAGGCAGGGTGCTCTATGCTTCCACTTACTCTGAAACATATCCGTAGCTTGTTCATATGTAGCTGCATTGCTAATAGTATTAACGTGTGCATACATGTCCACAAGCGAAAACCTCGGGGATACAGCTAAAGACCTGTGACTTTCTACTTACATAAAATAACCTACATCTTTTTCTTGCATTTATTTCTATTGCCAGGAGCTTTGAAAAGTGTCATAACCAGAAGTCAATTTCTTTGCGGTTTCCTATTATGTTTCTTAAGAATTGTGCAGTGGTGATATGAAAAACACACATTTCTGGTAACAGATACAAGCTGTTGAGGTTCCCAAAATTAGAGATATTCAAGATAACAAAACACTCTATAATGTGTATACAAACACATATGGCTATATATCAACTTCCCCCAAATGGCATTATTTCTATCTGAATTAAGCACAGGTAATTTTGTTTGGAAGTATGGCTTTTTGGCAACGTAACATTTTATTACCTTTCTTCAAACTGGTTCAAATTTCCTTAAGTGCTTGTCCTATACTCCTAGTGGCTACGTTAAAGAAAAAAACATCAAGGCATAATCGTTTTACTTGACTAATTTATCTGTTGGTAATCTTCTATTAATTTGTTGCCCTTTTATTTCAAGGCAACACACAAAATAAAGAATTGTGCAGAATTGCTTATATGCATAGGCTGCCATGAAAATAAAAATATCTAGAGGAAAATTGAAAACACTATCAAATATGTACATGCTTCCAAAGCTTCTGATGTTATCCAAGGTTTTCATATCTAAGTCAAGGTCATAAGTTAGATTCTTATGTGAGCCAGCTATTCTTTGACCAAAAAGTAGAAACTATGGATAGGTCGGGGAAGAGGCTCCACTTTTACTATTTGGGAAACCAACTCCTGCTGTGTCTTTTCCTTCCTGGGGAGAGGAGTTACCATTTTTTACTAGACACAAATCTTTGAAATTTTGACTTTCTTAAAATTTACACTGGAATATGTGATATTGTAGAACTACAGGCACAATCTTAGTCATACCTTTGCATTCATTAATTCTAAAGGAAGGCATTGTTTTCTAAGACAAAACACAGCATTTATGGGTAAGATGCCCATTTTACCGAGACCCAGTTTTTTTTAACGACGTGTTCTCTCCTAAAGAGCTGGTGAATAAAATCACGATCATCAACGTACAACTTATTTGGAGTTCTGAGCTTCAAATACACAGGAGACCAATTGGGTCACCCAGTATGACCTAATTTCCTGACCCTGGTTCCCCCTTGCAGACTTACCACACTTGGAAATAAAGTGCAAATTCGAGTGAGGAAAGAAAAGAAATCCACCCAAGAGCTGTTAAAAAATGTATGTATGCAGTAAATCTATGTATCACTGTGTAATTATAATAACATAAACAAATCCACTATAAGGACATTCACATTAGACCTAATTTTATGCTGAACTATTATAATGCAGTTAAGAGCCGCATAGTCCTGATTTAATTAAGCTCTGTTGTGAAGCATGCAGCATTTGAACCTGTTCCGGCCTGTTTGACTACCATTGAATTAGCGCCCTTAACTTGTTTTTCTGCTGAACGATGAATCTCATTTAAGAATTCCTGTTTACGGGTCTGGCATTCGGTGGGTTCTTCTGTGCTGTTGTGCCTCCAGACCCGGGTCAGCTAAGCTCCTCAGATTTGCCCCATATGTAGTCTCTCGACTCACTTGTCTCAAAAGATTTGTTAACTTACCCTGGGCTCTCGTGGAAATGAAGGGACAGATTTGATTGGTTTAATGAAAGAGATTTCAGATGACAGGAGACTTCACTTGTGGAGCTAACTTCAGATTCTGTAGGGCACAGTAAGCGTCTCCTGGCCTATCATTTTGCAGAAATACTTAGTGAACTCCAATTTTCCATGGATATTACCTAGGCTGCCAAGTAGTTTAACCGTTACTCATTAGGAAATGGAAGGCAAAGGCATCTTTAGAAAATGCACTTTCTAGAAAAATCACATCCTGCTTCCTTCTTTTTATCTCTCTCCTACTTTAGGCAAGAATGTCTAGGTTGTCTAGTATTTGCCTGAACAAAACTTTCCCTTCCTCTATGCAGATTGCCTGAAATAAAATTAAACGGGAAATCTTACAGGTGAACATTTAGCTTGGTGATCAAATATCAGGCCAGTTTGCTGAGGAGCTTGTTACTCAACAACTAGTTTTAAAGAAACAGAGTTAAAAGTCAGGAGAACAGAGTTGCAGAGAATTATGTCCACCCACTTAGATTATTTAGAAATGAGCCAAAGGACCTAAGAAAAATCAAACAGTGATTTCTTCATCACATCTCACGTCTGCATCCATCCTCTGATCTACCTCTCTTCAGGCTTAGTTCCTGTTATAAAACATCCATGTTCTGCTTCTTTTTTTTTTTTTTTTTTACCTTGCCCTACTTTCTTAACCCTAGGGAGGATTTTAAGAAGGTTTCAAAGCTAAGCATCCCCAATTGCTTCAGGCTGTCTTTGGTTGTAAGTCAGGATACAAAGCAATTACCCGGAGGGTGGGATGTGTTCGTGGCCAATGGGAGAACCTTCCCTAGATCAGCAGGTAACTGAAAATATTCTCTGAAGGGTGAACATCTGGTGCAGATTCTTAACCATTTCTAGTGGGGTTTTATGGGTCACTCTTCCTTTTCCTTTTCCAAAAGGTGTGTACTCATAAAGCACAAATAATAGGGTTTAACTTGGTCCACATGCCTGGTGGACAGGTGTTTGATTATCTTATCTTAAGGACTGCTAGCTAGAAATTCTGGAAATGACCACAATTGCCTTAGTATTAGAACTTTATGGTCCAAAAAAAAGGGGGAGAAAAACATCAGTATTTTTTCTAGTTAATCTCCAATTCAAAGAAGATTGAGAACATTCCATGGGATATTAATAGAACTAAATGGCTGCAGTAATTTAGATGCGGCCTCTATTTTGGTTTTCTATGACAAATGACACTGTACCCCTTTTGAGTCAAGAAGGATGCTTGCAAGGTTCCTGCACAGACCAAGGACAGAAAACTCTTCCTGTAGATTCTTTCACATGAGCACTTCACAGAGGGAAAATTCAGCCTCTAGAGTTATGTTTAGACACAGTCCCATTCTGCAGCCACACACTAACACACAAAGATAGTAGTGTACTTTGTGATCAAACACATTACTATGTGGTGTAATCAAAAGTACATTGGCTTTTGGGACTTGCTTGGCGGTCCAGTGGTTAAGACTTCGCCTTCCAATGCCGGGGGTGTGGGTTCGATCCCTGGTCGGGGAGCTAAGATCCCACATGCCTTGGGGCCAAAAAAACCGAAACATAAAACAGAAACAATATTGTAACAAATTCAATAAAGGCTTTAAAAATGGTCCACATCAAAAAATCTTAAAAAAAAAAAAAAGTACATTGGCTTTAGAGTCAGACCAATTTGGGTTCAAATATCAGAGCTGCCTGATTACTTTTGGGGTCTCAAGGTGCTACTATGATATATATGCCTCTTTGCCCCACCTGAGTGATTTGAGAAAAATTAAGTAAACATAGGAACCAGACTAAAGGAAATAAAAATATCAGCCTCGTGACTAGTAAAGCTTTTGGACGATGTGTCATTGGATTAGCAGCCAAGTGGGCTTAACTCATCACCCCATAAGGAAGGAGCTGGAAGGCAAAGTCGTTCTCGGAAGAGGCCTGCTCTTGTTAAAACTTGACTATGGACCGGCAGAGGATGTGAGTGCTTCCTAGGAATGGCCTGGATATAAAAAAATGAGAGGGAAGGGGCAAAGGAGCTACTCTGATTTCTTGTTCCTAAATCACCAGGGAGGAGAGTAAGAAAAGCTTGTGGGGAAATCGGAGGTAGAGGAGCAGGATTATTTATTAGTAAATGATATAATCATGTAACTGCATCTTTGGGCAAGTTATTTAACATTTCCGAGCCTCAGTTTCCTTGTCTATAAAATGGGAATAGTAATACCAACCTGACAGAGTTGCAACATAAACAAACAAAAAGCGCGCGTGTGCGTGCGTGTGCGTGTGTGTGTGTGAACTGCCTACCTTCAGACCTGCCACTCAATAATGCTGACTTACTTTCTAGTCTACCCACCCCTTTTCTTCCTAGACCCTGGTCAGTCAAGGATGCCTCTGGGTAGAAGGCAATTCACTCCTCTCTTTCCTCAGATTAGAGATGGTTGAAAAGGAGAGGGAGAAGGACATGCATATCAAAGAAAATAAGAATTATTTCTAAAAGTCTACTCTGCACAGTTTACTGCCCACATTTTCAAGGTCACTTACCTTCTAAAAGGAATCATCTTCCAAAGCAAGAGTTACTCCTTTTCAGGCAAATGTAGACATCTTCATAGTCCTTTAGCTTGCAGGTGTCCAGGGGTGCAAGATGGGTTTGTTTTATACTGAATTTCCAAGACAGAGAGGCTCCCATCCACCAAGGCTCCCAGCTAACTTTCACCCCGCCAAACGCTTCGTAGAATGAGCGGAAACCCCATGGCTCTCCAGGACATGGCATGCTTATTCTCATCTCATTTCTTTTGCTCTGCTTTGCCTGAAGTTTATCCTTTTACATCCAAAGGCTGGGAGACATCAGAGACATGTGTAATACCTGGGCTGGAGCTGCGTGTGCAGCCAGGAGCCTTCAGTTCTGATCCTGGCTCCAACCACAGACTTCTTGAGGGGCCCGAAGGAGCAGCCTGCCATCATCCACCTCCTGATTTTACCTGAGGATGTTGTGGTGTTGCTAAACAACCTCACCAGGCGATCATGCAGATTAAAAATTAATTATATAAATGGATTCATGTCCCCATCGTTGCTCCCACAGTTTTGACATAGCTTAATAAATTCTTTCTTTAGATGTAGTCAGTGCTGTCTTCAAACCTGTCCTGCCTGCTTGCTATGGTCTCATTGCAGTGGCATCCCTGTCCAGTGGGCTCTTGCACCTGTTGTCACCTAGGTGTCTCTGTCACTCAAAGCTCACAGCTAGCAACCAAACTCTGATGATTCTATCTCAGAAAAAGAAATCATTGACTCTGTCTCCAGTCCAACTGTCACTGCCCAAATGCAGGGTCTCATCACCTACTTTTGGTGAGATGGTCTCCAGTCTGTCATCCTCTGGTCTACCTGGCATTCTGCCTTTAGCGCTACTACTCTAAAATACAAGTCAAATCAAGCCTGTCCTCTGCCCAGAAACCTCCAATAGCTTCTCCCCTTTATGGATTACATTACAAATACCTTAGTAGAGTATCCTGCATCTTCACAGTACAAATGATGTTTCTAGGCTGGACTGTGGATTGGCCCTTGAGCCCGCCATGCACTTTTGCATCTTAGTGCTGGACACACCCATGGCCCTTTTCATACCTATTGAAATCCCACTAAGGTTTTGAGACCCAAATCAAGCCTCCTCATCTCCTCGGTTAAGTTGCTTCTGTGCACTCCTTGCTTTAAGTTAAATGTATGCCAATCTCTTATTGTGAATTCCTGGTAGATGGTTAGTTCCCGAAGTTTATATTTTCTCAAAACCTAACGTAGAACGGATCCTCAATAAATGTCTGTTTTTTGGTTTTTTTGCGGTACGCGGGCCTCTCACTGTTGTGGCCTCTCCCATTGCGGAGCACAGGCTCCGGACGCGCAGGCTCAGCGGCCATGGCTCACGGGCCCAGCCGCTCCGCGGCATGTGGGATCTTCCCGGACCGGGGCACGAACCCGCGTTCCCTGCATAGGCAGGCGGGCTCTCAACCACTGCGCCACCAGGGAAGCCCAATGTCTGTTTTTAATTGTATCCAACTTTAATCTTTTCTCTCATTCAAGCTATTTCAAGACATTTATTGCTTCTTTACCTGTTCATCCAGATTTTAATCTTACCTTTTTATTTTCAAAGAAAAAAAAATCACTAGCTAGAATCTTGAAAGTTTATTGTCAATTATAGACTTGAATTAAATAATAATTGGCCAGAACTTTCTATCACATTATTTAAACTTTCCATATTATTGAGGATTCAACGTACTTGTAAATTATCTTAGAAGGAGTTAACTTTGGAGAATGTGTTTGACATGGACTTTCTGCCACAATAGATAAATGCCTCCTGACTCAGAAAGAGCCAGTGAAGAAAGAAATCAACTGAATACTTTCCTTTATTTACCTCTGAAATGACTGGAGTATGTGAATATGGAAACTGGAAATTTTAGAAAGCATTTCTGTAGCTCAGCAGTTGCAGGAAAAGATAACAAAGATATCTGGAGACTAGAAGGTTTTTCAGCCTCAAAAAATCTTTACAGCGGTATAATCTAATCTTTCACTGCCAATATTTTAGACCAGCAATAGAACAGTGTTTTTTGAACTCATTCATATTTCAATTAATGTTACTGAAGTCCCCACAAGGTGTGTTGTATTAAACAATGGAATCGTCACAAAGAAAAAATAATAGGTAAACACATAAAGTATGCAAAAATCCTGCCCTGTGCACTTCGGTAAAATGTATCTTTAATTTATCTTGCCCCCTGTTTTGGTGTTGCCAGAGACTTAGCACCTAGCACACTACGAAGAAGCAAAAAAGAGCAAAGATTTGTTTTGGATGGGAAAGCACAAACACTCATTCATAAAACCATTCGTAAGCATTTTTTTTTTAATCAACACTGTCATTGCCGCAGCCTGCTTGATCTTCCTACTCTGGGTTAATATGGGAGCCAATTACAGCTTCATCTGTGTAGAATTAACTTTTCGGAGCACACACCGGGGATTTGTCTTCCTTCACTATTTAGATATATGTCATAAAAATATGCATGGAATGGAGTACAGGCACTGCAGATGGCAGAGACTTTCAGATTTATTGCAGAATCATTTAAAATTGGTTATGCTCTTGCCAGAAGTTAATTAATTTTTTTCTCTTCTTTTCTGGGGCTGGGGGGTGGGGTGGGGGGCCTCCGTGTCTCACTAGGTGGCAGTGTATGATTATATCTGGAAAAGCCATGGCGGCGTCCAGTCCAGCATCTCCAGCTGTGACCTCCAACAGCAAAATGAAACTTCTGTGTCTGCACTTGGTCCAGGAGATGTTACTTCTCATATAGCAGTGTACACTGTTTATCCCAGTGGGTTCCAAGAGCTGTACCGCCATTTTCTTAGGCTCCCTAGTGGTGCAATTGTTGAGGTGAGTATATATGAAAATATTTTAATGCAAATGCTGTGTATGTCGTAATGCGTGAATGTGAGTGTGTTTATACTTGATTTAAAAGGCTTCAAAACTACTTTGCAAACATATCATAACTGATGCTTCTAGTACCATAGAGGACGTGAAGATGTATTTTAGTGTTTTCCTAAAGAAACGAAAGTACCGCATAAGAAAAAAAAATGTTTCTGAGCTATTGGAAGAAAGGCAGGAAAAAAAATCACGTAAAATAATTCAGGATTCTGCCTGCAATAACTTTGACTCAGTCAATATTTGGAAACATCAGCAGATTGATGAAGAAGAAATATCTCAGTCCATAGATACTTCGATGCCACAGGAAAGTACACAGCTCTTTGCTTAGATGATCTCACACAAAATGAACGAGATGGTGCAATTTCATATTTCTTCCATGAGACAAATCTTAAAAAAGTAAAGGAAAGCCTCCATTCCCTAAATCTTTAAAAACTTTTTAGAGTAGTATTTGGCAAAGATCCTAAAGTCATGTTTCCTCCTAAAATGTCAAAGTCTTTAGGTGAGCTGAGTTTGTTAAAAAGCATCTCTTACGTTGCCTCAAAGTCTCAGAATCCAAACTGCAGGGCATGTTGAAACCTGAGGCTGCCATTAGCATCAGAATTGCTGTTGAATAATGAAGTCAGAAAGAGTGTTATTTCCCTTTATTTGGAGAGAATGAAGGATGGAGGAGAAGGAGAATTCAGATGTGTATGACATTCGATTCCCTGGTCTTGGTGGCATGAAACTCACTTTGCAGTGGCACAATACTACGTTGTTAAGAATTTGCAGAGTAAGAACCTTTCTGTTCGCATCACACTTTCCCTATGGAATTTAGCTATTGCTGTTTCTGTTATGAAGTTGATGAAAGTGTGTCTTCAGAAAAGGCCCTTTGAATACAACCTTGAAGAAATTTTTAATTGTTTAGAGCTCTGCCTTGCAGATAGGGTGCTTCCCGTTTCTACAAAACCAGCCCATGACGGAGTTTGGTACTTGAGTGATTCTCGTGGGCTCTCTACTCAGAGAAACAGAGATGTGCTAGACAAGGGTCCGCATCATTTCACCTCCCTTTTCCCTGATATAAGAGGGGATTGTGTATATTGTAGCAAGGCAGCAGGTAGGTGGATGAGAACTATATCCCACATAATTCTTTGCGGGCTTGGGTCCCGGGCTGGTATTGGCACTTCTGCGTATGATCTTTTTCAGACTTTGGCAACATCTGCTTTAGAAACCTCTTTGTGGGACAAAACTGCCAGGGCTTAATTTTTTTTTAAATTTACACAAGCGTGTGCATAAAGATATTTGCACACCATGAGCTGAACAAACTGGAGAAGCCAGGATGCCAGGGATATCTGCCCTTCTGCTGCAAAACATCTTGCAGCTTGTAGTCCTTGGGTCCGACTGGGAAGCTGAGGTTCAAGGTGACCTGTTCTCATAAGCAAAGCAATCATCAGGGCTTTAATTCACTCGCTCCTGCATGTGCGCTAGGACCTTGGTTTAGTCATTTCCCACTCCTCTGCCTATATCCTTATCTGTAAAACTGGGTTATAAATACTCATACTACCTGCCTCACAGGTATTTGGGACAGATGAACGAGATAACATTGGCAATATATTTTAGTTCTTTTTAAAAAGGGCACAATAAACAGTTCAGAGTATTGTGGATCACGCACAATTAAATTCATTCAACTTTTTTTCAAACGTAGTAACATTATGCTAAAGATTAAATAAAGTAGGTTCTAGAAGGATTGAGAGGTGGGGCAGGAGGTGTTATTGACCCATCTGGTTTTGGTTGCCTGTGTTTTCCACACTGTTGGATTATATGATGGTGGAAGTGTGTCTGGACCCCGCTAAGCCTGTTCCCAACAGAGATGCTAACAAATACTAAACCAGCGCTCCCCCTTTTTTCAGATCTCAGCAAAGGCACAGGGTCCCACTCCCTCTGCAGTCCGAGTCTAAAGCCTACCCACTTATTTCTTTGTGCTTTATGTTACCTGCTTTGTCCTCTATGAAATCCATTTTGAAGGGACCTAGCCTCTTTGCACCTTCTCTGACACTTTTTTTAGGAGTACTAGATTTTATTCGTTAGCCTTTCTAAACTTGTTTCCAGTATTAAATTGCGTGTCCCAGAGGACAGGAACCGTCAAATCATCCCAGTCCCAGAGCATATTGAAGACTAGGCAGGTTTTCTTTCAGCCTACTCAACAATCTTCCTACTTTCTTTTATATCTCTCCTGACCCCTAACGGGCACATCTGATCTATCACTGGCTTTCTGAGCTATAAAATCTGAAATTGGAATGGATTTGAGACTGGTCTTTTGCAGCTTCAGTGAGAAGTGAAATTCATGTATTATCTTTCCCAAAGATGTATGCATGGTAAAGAAATTTCCAACCGCAGCACCTAGATAGATTATACTTTCCGGACTGAAGAAACATCTATTAAACTTTGAAAATTGTAGTTTCTAAGTAGTCATCTACTTGGGTTAGAGTTAACTCCTACCTTTGAAGTCCCTGTCTCTGTACTAGGCACAAAGCTGTTGCTCAGGGAAACCTATTAAGTTGCCTTGAATTTCTGGATGTCAAATTATGCTACTTGATGGTTAATTATGTACCATGAGACCTTTTCCACTAACGCCCATATTATGCGAATTGAGGGCACCTATGCTTAGGAAATGACTCAGATCCGTCTAGCGATACCTGTAAGATCCATGCTGTATTTTGATGGGCTATTCTGATAGGGGAAGAAACAGGTAGCTGCCTCTAGACCTAATTTAATATTTACAAATTAGATCTGGCAACAAACATGAAACAAAAATGGGTGAAATTCTGCTTCACCTTTATAACCTGAACTCTATTCTCAGAAGTTTTAGGGTGGTTGTAAAATAGAGTACCTAGTGTTCCGAGCTCCTTCTGCATCTAACACAGCTCTAGCTTGTGACGACAGTGATTTCTAAGTCTCTCCTAATTCTGATATGAAAGATAGGTCACGTGTTAACCTTTTCTTTCTTTTTTTTTCCTCAAGAAAACCTTAGCAATTTGAGTTTCGAAGCACGTTATCTTCAAGTTTTTCATTTTTTTGTGAAAAGCCATGGTTTTTGGAACAGTATGATTTCTGCACTGAAAAGGTCAGATTCCATCAGATTGAAATAGAAGTTATATTATTACAAACTATCTTTCCTATGGATTTATGTTCACCACTTTTTTTTCATCTGGGCCCGTGACGAAGATGACACAGATCTTACAGTGTTCTACGTATTTAACTTAAAAAATAAAATCCCCTCCACGCTTGTCCGAGATGGTCATTGGTCTGTCAGGAGGTGAGGGCCTCTCTTGAATTATCTTTTTGTCAACTCCTCTGAGGCTGGGCAATGCCATGGACTCTCCGCAGAGGAATACTTTTTAAATTAATTCATGAATTAACTTTATATTGAAGTACAGTTGATTTACAGTATATCGTGTTAATTTCATGTACAGCAGTGATTCAGTTATATATATATACATACACATATCTATTCTTTTTCAGATTCTTTTCCCATATAGTTTATTACAAAATATCGAGTAGAGTTCCCCTGTGCTGTACAGTAGGTCCTTGTTGGTTATCTATTTTATATACGGTAGTGTGTACCTGTAATGCTTTGTCTCCGTTCCGTAGCTTGAGGTTTTTTTTTTTTCTTTTTAAGTACAAAGTTTTTCTAAAGTTTTTAGTGCCACAAAACCTAGAAACCCAGGCAAGACTGGTGCAGACTCATCAAATCACAAATAAGCTTCCCGATCCCAGGGTATCCATCGCAATTAAGAAAGCCCTTGGAGCATTCGTTGGGGCGGAATGGGAAAAGGGTTTCTCTGTCGTTAGAGGCGGTGTCGCCTGGTGGTCTGAGCAGAGGAATGGGAGTCAGGAGCTCAGCGATCTAACAGAGTCTCTGTGAGGCCCTGCCGAGCGGCTTCCGGCGAATCTCTCAGCCTCAGGAGGATGGGCTCACCTACTTTGAATCTCCCATCTGAAGAGCTCCTTACCCAGTGCCAGGAGATACACAGCAGGAGGCCTGATTCCTTGTCTGCAAAATGAGAATATTAATACTTGCCTAAATAACAGATTAACCAATTAGTGATTTTATTAAGTGCTCTGCTGATAGAAAAAGCAGCAGGAGAAGAAAGGTGAAAACAAAACACGGAACCACAATTTATGATTAGATGGGTTTGACTCAACTCCGGATTCTTCTCCCACTCCTGGAATTGAGTGACCACCGGTGGGGAGAGCAGGTGTAGAGGGGCCGACCCTCACTTGTATGACCCTCAGCGAGAAGGCAGCAGAGGAAGCTTTATCTTGCAAGCCTGCATGAAGCTTTGAGTAAATGGAGGGAAGAATCGTATTCTGTCCTTGAATCAATGACTTGCACGGCAAAAACAGAATACAAATAACTGAGAGTTTTCAGTTTTAACTCTTCTATTGTAACATCTTCCAGAAAAGACTATTTATTGTTATTGGAAATTCCCATATCCATCTGTTACAATGACTAATTTGCTGTGTGTGTGTTTGAGAGAGAGAGAGAAATACACAAAAATGTGGAAGGGAAATCAATAGGAAAATACTGAAAACTCTGGGTCTACAGAAGTTATTCATTAAACATGTAAATTGTTGGGAATTCCTCCATCCAGTTTTTCCATTTGTTGAAAGTCATTGTTCATGGGAAGGGGCAAAGCCATCCCTGTGTTTCTCATTGTGCGTAGTTTAAACTGGCCTAAAGAAAATATTAAAATTAACTCATTTCTGCAAATAGAAGAAAGTCCCGTTTTCATTTCCCAAGTTTAGAAAACTTTATATTTTGTGCACAACACCTGCATGAGAAGGTGCAGTAAATCTTTGGGGCACATTTGGGGCACAATTGCTTACATGACACTATTGAAAATATACATTAACATGAAGTAGTAATAGCAGTACTTATGGCTTTGCATAAAATATTGTTAAAAATGTCA